GACACATATTTCTTGAATGTAAATTGTATACATTTGTATTATGAATTACCTTTGCTGAAATAAAGATTATTATTATTATTATTATTAATATTTTCGATATTGTAACAAAGTTACTTTTTCCCTATTCCCGGCCTGTCATAGAATCCAGATCTAAATGATTTAATTCACCCAAGTCATAAACGACCTCGGAATAGCCCATATGTAGCGCTACCACCGGAATGACCCGTATGGTAGTCAACAGCAAAAAGTAAAATCCTATTTCAGCGTTTTTTTACGAAACTCGACAACGAGAGCACCGTCCAACCATAAAATTTGCAACAAAGCTAACCTTAACGTGATTGGCCAATCCTGAAATCATATTTGAGAAGCGCGGGACAGCGAGTGAAGTGCCGACCGACCGTCCAACCGACCGACTTCAGCCAAAGATAACGTAAGTTGTTGTAACTAATATTCTATTTGTTTGTTTGTTTGTTTCAGAAACTCAACTTTTAATTTCGAATTATTTATTGTAAAGTCATATCATTTTATTTATAATTTTATTGTTTTGTACATACGAGGGCTTATTTCAATATATGTATTAACCGAACCACACCATTTATTCATAAATTCCCCGGAACCCTGGAATTTTATCTACACTGTTAACCCTAAAAGCTACCCTCGCATATAGTGGAACTACAACCACTTTAAACCCATTGAAGTTGGCGCCCGAGATTTTATTAGAAAGTCAGCAAGGTAAGTGACGCCAAGCTTAAAAAGGAAAGTTTTCCCCCGGGAAGTATACTGTTCAAAATTTTAGCTAATTTTTACCTAAAATATTAGACTATATAGGACCATTGATTTTTTAAGGCAAACTGCTTGAAATGAATTCAGAGGAATTATCCCCTTTTAAATTAGTGAATTCTTTAACTGATATTTTTAAAGAAAATAATACAATTAATTAAGAAAAATCACTTAGGTTTCAAAGTTGATACACCTTAGATCGTAAGGGATATTGCCTGAGAATAAAAGAATAAATTTTCTGTTTCTAAGGCGATTTGCTTAAATTTTTAGGTATATTTAGTTTTCAGGCAAATTATATATATTTTTAGTGAAAATCCTCTTATTTTTAACGGTAAATTTATCTAATTTTTTTAGATAATAGGTATACCCTAAAAAATTCTATTAAATTTCTAGTGAAATTTCACTAATTATCTAGTGAAGTTTTACTAATTTTCTAGTAAAATTCTACTATTTCATTAGACAAAAATATAAGGGGAACATGAATTGGCGGTGGGGGCATTTAGGAGAGAAGATATTTATAATGTTATTTTTATTCTCACGCATTGCTTTGGTAATATACTATTTTGGAAATATACTATTGTAAATGTTAAATATTATTGTAAAAAGTTACCGATAACCTAGTAGTGTTTATCCCTATATCGAGGGAATGTAAATGAGAAAAGAATGACATTATGAATCCCCCTTTTAAGTGCTTATGGGTAAAATAAAAAATACATTTATTTTAGTTAAATTGAAAATGTATATTAATAAATATGTATAAATAAAAAAATAAGTAACAAAAACGAATTACGTTTATTTTAATAATACCTAGCTAATTAATAAGTTTAATAATACTTATAGGTATACCTACTTTATAAGTTTAATAAAGTTTCTTTTGGCATAGGAATTTTCTTCCAAGTTAGGACTCCTTTATCTTTATGTCCTAGGCGAATTAACAACGGCGGTTCCGGTACTACAGGGTTAAAAATTAAATGGGGTCAATGGGAAATTTCATTTGGTTTGGATTACTTAACTATAGAACTACAAAATGTTCACTTATAGCAAAATAATTGTTAACTATGTTGTTATATCAATAGCACACAACGCGGTCTTTACGCTTTCGTTGATTTTGGCATTATGGTGGACAATATAGGCGCGAATATTTATCGTAAAACGTCGGTATTAGCGATCGTAGCCGATTGCAAGTAAGTCACTAATATTTAAAGGAATTTACCTTAATTAGTTCAATAATTTGCCATAATAATTTAGAAGAATTACCTAAATTAAAAGAAAAATTGTCGTACCTAAAAGTAATTGAGATTTTGACTAAATATTTAGGTAATCTGCCTTTCTTTTTAAATTTGACAAGTTTATTAAGTAAAGTATGAATATAATATATATTATATCTAGAAGTTAGTGAATACACCATAGAACTAAGGCATTAGTTTCTGCCTAATAAACGAGAAGGTCGTTTAAGGGGGGGTAAGGTATTTAATTTTTTTTGTTTTGCATTTTCGAAATTGAATCCGTAATATCTGAAGAATATTGTGTCAAAATTTCAAGTCAATTGGAGCAAAATTGACGAAGTTATGAGTATTTTTATACCTGCCGGATTTTTGTACCTATACCCGAACCGACCCGACCTGAAGCTGAACGACAAACCAAAGAAGGCAGGATTCGTCGTAGGCAGGAGCAAAAAGATGCATTAGACATCATCGATGATAGCAACATCCTCTATGGACCTGGCATTGATGACTTAGTGTAAGGTATGTCGATAAAATTCGCTTATAAACGGTTTAACTGGATTTTTTTGTGTTTAAAACTTTAAAGCGTTTTTCCCACATCTCACGTTTTCAAAGTCGGTGCTCCTGATAACTCCAAAACTACTGCACCGATCCTTTTGAAATTTTAAACACCATTTCTGTACATCATTTACGAGGTAACGCTGTCGAGTTTTTTTTTGTTCATAATTTTGATTTCGCAATAACAAATTAGCCGATTTTTTCCCACAAAATTGTGTTTTTCACTTCAAAGTGTTCGAAAAAATAAAAAAAATTGAAAAAAAAACTCAACAGCGTTACCTGGGGAAAACTATTATCTAACGAATGAACTTTGATTTTTTGATTTCAGATGATCCAGCACCAAGTTATGAGGGGCACCGCAATTCAACTTTTTTTCGAGACACGTCCGAACAATTGCTGCCATTGCCGTATTTTTTAATATTTCTTTGCACAAATTTAATGAAACATTCTTCGAATGTCATACTTCAATGTACCATTGGTTGAGTAAAGAAATTTTAACTGCGTCGTCAGAAAAAAATCACGATTAAATTGTGCCTGTCAACTATATTGCCTTATTTAACACACATAATAAATTCATGTCTTCTTGAAAGTTATTTTCCTGACCAATGGAAGGAATCCAGAGTAGTTCCATTGCCAAAGAAAACAGAAATAACGAATTTTAATGAGCTGCGTCCTATTTCCATTTTACCGGTACTTTCAAAAGTATTGGAAAAAATAATGAATATCCAAATTCGTAAACATCTAAATACATTTAATATACTACCGGTATTCCAATCAGGGTTTCGCCAAGGATACAGTTGCACAACTGCCCTCCTAGACGTAGTCGATGATATCATAAGAGATATTGATAAAGGTAAAACTGTTTGTCTAATTCTTCTGGATTACTCAAAGGCATTTGATACCATTAGCCATGAAATATTATATTCCATCTTGCATTATATTGTAATAATCTAATAAAAAGTTACTTAACTAACAGAGTCCAATATGTGCAAACTGACAAGGGTCAATCCAGAAAAACTCAAATAAAATGTGGTGTGCTGCAAGGGTCTATTCTGGGTCCATTACTTTTTAGTATATATACATGCGAATTAACTAAATGTTTAAAATTCTGCAAAGCATTTTTATACGCAGATGATACACAGTTAATGTATTCTTTCGAACCAGACAACTTATTGTTGGCTAACTCTCGCATAAATGACGACCTAAACGCATTAGTCAAACTATCCAACAATCACCAGTTATGTATAAATTCACTAAAATCCTCAGTTCTTATATTTGGTAGGCAAAAACAATTAATCTCAAACTCAATTAAAATACAAATCAATGGAAATGATCTGACAACCAGTAACCTGGGTATCGAAATTGACTGTAATTTACGATTTGACAATTATGTTACTAATTGTCTAAAAAAGGCTTACAGTGCATTAAAAATTCTTTATCCTCACCGCCAAATATTATCACAAGAGCTTAAAATTAGATTAACTGACACTTTGGTTCTTAGCTACTTCAATTATGGTGATGTACTGTATGGTCCCTGTATAGATAAAAGAAATGTAAATCGTATACAGTACATTCAGAAATCATGTATAAGATATATTTATGGTATAACGAAATTTAATGCAGTATCTTACAAATTGTTAGACGCAAAATGGCTAAATATGGAAGAAAGACGAACACTTCATTCGGCAACACTGTTTCACTCCATAATAACAAGTAAAACACCACCATACTTACATAGGAAAATTCAATACCGTACCGATGTTCACAGCTTAAATTTAAGATTCAAAGGCCTAATATCCCCCACCTGCCCATACAACTGCAATATTTAGACGATCCTTTTCATATAACGTTTATGCCATATACAATGACCTACCCGCACATCTTAAGACTCGGAAATTAAAACCTTTTAAATCTGCTTTAAAAAGGTTTATACTTAACAAGCTTTTGTAAAAACCACTATTTCCTGAAAAACCACTTTGTCGTTAAAACCTCTTTCTACATTAATTTTTATTTTAAAATAGTCATGGACCTATATTAATTTTGTTTCTTTTTGTTTTTAAATTTGTTTTGGGCTGGAATTACAATCAGATTAGTCTGCCTTCCAGTCCATTTTGTTGTATGAGATTAGTTTTGTATATTTCTCTTTATACTTTTAAAATGAAATGTATTATGTTTCTTTACAACAAATAAATTATTATTATTATTATTATTATTATTAAAACATGGCTTTTTTCGTATGATTTGACCTTACCCCCCCCTTAAGCATATTGCCTTATTTTTCCTTAACTAATTCTGATTAGGTATTTCAAAAGGCTTGATTTTGAACAGTGTAAAACCCTTTTACAATATTTCAAAAGTTACACTCAATATTCCAAACTTTTGGGCCACCCTGTGCATTCTTACCCTTGGGTGGTGAAAAGACTCTCCCTCGTCTGGCACGCGCTGTCGCACATCTCTGGCACCGTCTCGTTGTCCACCGTGTAGATGTTGGTGTTGTAGGCGTCGCCGTTGCCGCTGGGCGACACGCTGTGCTCGTTCCTGATGAGGATCGGCAGCACCTCGCCGCCCGGCACGTAGCACGGCGTGTTTATGCTGTTCGACCTCTCGAAACGTCCGCCCGCAGAATCCAACGACGGCGAGCTGTGCGATCGCGAACCGCGAGAGTTCGACTTGGACGAGGGTTTTTTCACTTCGCGGTCTTGTTTGTCCAGCTCGTTGAGCTGGTGTTCCCTGCTTTGCCGGATGTATTCCTACAACAAAAAGTACATCGAGTTATAATTTTTACTTATACTTATTAGGGTGTTTTATTTAAAACGAAAACTTCTTTTTTCTTGCTGACAAATGAAAATTTTGTTTTTTAGGTTTAAAAAAAAATCCCTGAAAATTTTAGCCCTTAAATTTGATTTTAAGTACTTCCTTTTTAATTTTGTAGTTTTTCCATATAAAAAGCATGCATTTTTAATCATTTTTACTTTAAATTTCTATATTTTGGCCGTGTTTTGAATTATAATTTTTATCACAATAATTTCCTGCATAGTATTCACGGTTTTTGAAAGGCCCTGCATCAATTTTGTTTTTGATTTATTTACGTTGATTGTAGTAGCTCCAAAAGTCGTTTTTCACTTTTTCTCATATATTTTTGAGAAAATCGAGCGAATGACTGGTTTTACCGAAAAAGTTCAAATGAAAAAGTTGTAGAAAATTTAATTTTTGACAAAAAAAGTTCTTACGTTCATATCACTAAAGTGCTTTGTTTAAGAGATATAAGGTATAAATGTATGTATATTATATTATACATAAATTTCAATAAAACCAATTTTTTCTTTGTTTTTGGTTATTGAATTGCTTATATCTCTTAAACAAAGTACTTTATTGATATGAACGTAGAAACCTTTTTTGTCAAAAATTAAATTTCCTACAACTTTTTCATTTGAACTTTTTCGGTAAAACCAGTCATTCGCTCGATTTTCTCAAAAATATGTGAGAAAAAGTGAAAAAAACGACTTTTGGAGCTACTACAATCAACGTAAATAAATCAAAAACAAAATTGATGCAGGGCCTTCCAAAAACCGTGAACACTATGCAGAAAATTATGGTGATAAAAATTATAATTTAAAACCCGGCCAAAATATAGAAATTTAAATTAAAAATGATTAAAAATACATGCTTTTTATATGGAAAAACTACAAAATTAAAAAGGAAGTACTTAGAATCAAAATTAAGGGCTCATATTTTCAGGGAATTTTTTTTTCAACCTAAAAAACAAAATTTTTATGTGTCAGCAAGAAAAAAAATTGTTCGTTTTAAATGAAACACCCTAATACTTATACAGGGTACGCCATACCTAAAAGGCTTACATTTTTTGCTACAAGGTTTTAAAAAACTACTTTTTATAATAATATTTTTAATATATTCGAAAGAACTCTGGATAATATTTCAAATTTTGGTGTGTTTTGGTAGAACATAAAACTACAAATTTTAGTTACAAAACTTGTTCTATTGCTTTGCATTGACAAAGACAATTTTTCCCATGTTATTCTTATGGAATATCGGAAAGTGAGATGCGGAGCATTAAGTAATTAAAATTAAGAGCTTATATTATCAAGGTCATTTTTATACCTTTTCAGCTTGTTTGCAAGAAAAATAAAACAATTCGCTTTTTTTAACACTCTAGTATAGCTGCCTATATTAATATATTTTTTAGTAATATTGGTGAAAATATGGTAAAAAAATAAAGCCTATCAAAAACAAAAATTAATATAAAAACAAAAACAGCTAGAAATTCGTTGTTTTTAAATCCAATTGATTGGCTACACATCAAAATTAAAAACAAGATCGGCATGCGGTTTTTCACTAAAATTATAAAAAAAATTCACATTTATATTAGCACCGTTACTTCATATTCTACTAATAAATGGAAATATACCAACGGCAATGAAAGATTCTATTATAACCCCTGCTTTTAAATCCGGTGATAAATGAAACACTACAAATAATAGACCAATATCGGTAATTAACAACCTTCTATTTTACTCCTCGTATTATGTATTTACAGTATCTGCCCAGATAGTTTTATAATATTATACGCGGATGATACTACAGTAATTTTTGTTGATTACTTATGTATAAATGTTTTTTAAAAGCAGAAAAATAAAGAATGGCTTGATTGTAGCTTACTTAGTCTAAATATTGAAAAAACAAAATTAACATGTTCTTTTTCAGGTGCTAATCAAGCTGAAATCGATAATATAAAAAATTAAATACCTTGGTTGATCAACATCTAAAATAGTCAGATCACATTCAATATCTCAAAACAACAAATTACATGAACTGTTACACAAAACACGTTAATAAAAATTCTTTTTAGGAAATCTAAAAGGTGAGCTATATTCGGAACTTGATATTTTTTCCATTAGAAACCTGTATGCCTATGCCCTATGGGTATGCCAAATCCAAAAGAAATTCTCGACCCAAAACTTTATAATATGCTACCAAAGGAAATTCAAAAATTAAATTCAAAATCGCTGCTTAAAAGTAAATTAAAAAATTTTATTAAGAAAAATTTCGTAATGATTAAAAATTAAATTAAAAACCCAGGTAATTAAATGTAAATGGTCACTCTCATTTTTTTGTCTCAGTGAGGAGTTAAAGTTAATTTTAGGTTAGGATTAGCTATCAATTGGTTAATTTAGTTTAAGATTAAGCATTTTAATATTCAAGTTATACTTTTTTAATTGAAATTTAAGTATTATGTATAAGTTAGTAACAAATAAGTATTTAGTTAGACATCTGTAAAACAAGCTGAATAAGCTTGGGCGGATTAAAACTACAAATTGTCAATAAAATGTATTAAATTGAAGTGATATTAAAAAATGTTTTATTAGCCTGGTAAATTTTACATAAAATCAGCCTGTTTCGACAGATTCCTAAATAAAATAATGGATAAACATTCAATTAGTTTCTTTAAGAAACTTTCTTGATCCATTACTAATAATATTCACAAGAAAACATATTTTTTCTTATGAATATTACCAATGGGTCAAGAAAGTTTCTTAAAGACTAACTAAGAACATTGAATGTTAGTATCTGTGATACAATTGCTGTTTGCAGTCCCAGTTGCGGCAAAGGCCACGCCACGACGCGTGGTTTGACGGTGTGGATCACCTGATGTTCTTACATCTCACCTCTGTTGGCTTACCAACCGAGCTTATAAGCTCAGGAAGTCCTTTGTTTTGAGTGTGTTCCACTTCACCAAGTTGCCCGACACTGATGAGACCCAATATAGGTCTAAACAGCTGTCTGTCGGTATTTGAAGTTGGAGTAAGGCACTCAAAATAAAAAACTTTGGCGAGGAGTAGGTTCAATTTTTTCTTAAAGATAATGGATATTTTGTGCTAATTAGCTAATGTATTATTAGGCAAAAAACAGACTGCAAAAATGGCGAATGCACCGGGATTAATTTTTTTAACTTCATAATTTTTACATGTATAACGGTAGTCTACATACAGGGTATCCGTAAATAACGTTAATATATTTGGGGGTGATTCTAAGCCTACAGGTTTTTATTAATTATTTCAGAAACGGTTGGTACGAAAATAATGATACTTTATTTCTGGGTTATTTTTTGGGCAAGAAATCATCTGGTGGTGTCAAATCGTATAAATAATTGAGGAGCATCCGTGCAAAACCGGCTAAATCCATTTTATTCATTTTTTGTTTTTTTTTTGATTTCGCATCTTTGGGTTCATTTCTATCGACAACCAAGATAATTCAGTTTAAATCCGACTAAATTCATGTTAAAATCACATTTAAAAGGTAGCTTTTGGAGCAAAACCGGCCAAATCCACGTTTTTATAGCAAACCCGGCTATATCCAATAAATAATAATAGGTGGCTTGGATATGTCGATACTACTACTAAAATTTGTTGTTTTTTCATGTTTGCATTAAATTTATTTTGTTAATATTTTTGAATAATAAAGGTTTTTTTTCACATTTTATTCGTTTTTTATTCGGTTTTCAAGCAAAACCGGCTATATACATACAAAACATTTTTTGAAATTTTGACCTTAATATAAAGTTTTTGAAATCGAAAGTATGTCTTATAAATCAAGTACCACAAAGCCCACAAAACTCAAGTTTGCTTTTTCTTTTATCTGTAAAGGCCAGGAAACCGAGAGTTTTTGCCATTTTCTCAACATTTTAGTAAAGTGGATATAGCCGGTTTTACACGGATGCTCCTCAATTATTATAGGCATGCAAAACAGGGGCTACTCGAAGAAAAAATCCTCATATTTGTTTTTGCGTTTTTTTTTATTTTCGATCTTGGAACACAATTCTCCAGATAATTTTAAGTAAAAAAGGTGCTCTTGTTACAAAGTCATGGGGCCAACCGTTTAAAAAAAGCACAGTGCTTTTTTAAACCCTTTTAAACGCTTTAAGCACTATTAAAAATGTCTCGCCAGAAAAATTCCTAAATTTTAGTTATTAAACACAGTAAATGAACTACAACAACAACGCAATTTATTTGCAATATTTAACGTTATTTCTGGACACCCTGTATATTATATTAATAATAGTTTATAAAACAAATTATTATAAACCTTAACCTAAACCTATAAATAATGTGACAAAATCATACAAAAATATTCTATAAATGCTTGGAAAAAATTTGTATGTGTATAAAACAAGGCGGCGAAAACTTATAGGTCAATTCTGGGTTCTCTCGTAAAATTTCTGTAAATTCGTAAATATACAGCTTACGATGATCTGTAACTATAATGCTTATAGAATCGTAAAAGTGGCAATTCTGGGATGTTATCTGCAAATGTCTAATTTAAAGTAGTATAAACGAACTACTGCAACTTCACGCCTATTTACTTACGATCAAAATAACCTATATTTTTATATGTATTATTTGGTTTATCCACAGTTTATCCGTTTTCATTTATGTATCAGCATAATACAAAAAGTAAGAAATTTAAACTGTTTGAGGAATAAAATGAGGTAAGATAATTTTACATTTAAAAGAACATATAATATATAATGAATAAAATTGTTAGTGCGTTGAGTGAAGAAGTCAATCAATGGTTAGTGGTAACGCAAAAGCAACAAAGAGAAAAATATAAAAAAACACCACTCCTCAACAGTTGAACGATATTTGGTTGCAATCGATGGAGATTATCCATTGGGCCAACCATGACAGCATAAATTTGAACAAGGAGCAGAAAA